ATTAGGAAGTGGGAGTGGAGGGCGTCACTTCCCCTCCCCCCTTTTTTGTTTTTAAACCGGGGAAGAGCTAGCTAAGCCTCTAGGTTTAGGTGTTGAATGGAAGGAGTTTCTGAAACCAGAAAATAGAAGGGGCGGGAAATTTTCCACTTTCTAGAATTTCTAGATATTGGACCATAATCTGTTCACAAGGGTAGAAAAACACGGTACTTTAGGCCACTGCTGATGTAAATCCTTGTGGATGCTGAGAAAGCAGCAAGAAAAAAATGTTTTCCCAGGGACTCTTGCCCTAATGGGCCCCTTCCTGGCAGTTAGGAAGTATAATACCTACTCATTGTGGTGGGTGGAGTCTAGGACGGGGAGGCCGGCAAGCCTGTCCCTTATTGAACAGGAAGGGGTTCTTAGTAAGGGGGTGCACCAATCCAGAGAGAGAAAATCCTATTTGAACCATATGTTTCCTAGACCCCTTTCCCCCTGGCCCAAATAGAATGTGCCAAAAGTCTTAGTTAAGGCCAATTTTTGTAACACCCTGTTAAATAGGGTTGTTCATCTGGGGAGGGAAAATACTTCCCATCTTTCAGGAAAGAGGTAGGGGACTATGGGTGTGGGGTGTTGCTTTACCCTAATAGACATGGTTTTTACATAACTGATTTTGTCTGTTGCTAGGGAAGGCTCTGTGTTGGGGGTTGGGATGGATTTGTTGGAAAATTATTGTGTTTAAAAAAAAAGATACCCATAAATTGTTTAAATGATTTTTTAAAAGTAGGTAGCTCAGGGGCCCAAGGTGCTCAGACATAAACATCCATAATTACCTACTCCTATTCAACTTTTCGTCTGGGATTCATTGCTGTGTGGTAGTTTCTCCCAGCATGTTTTGTGGGACAAGGATAGATAGACAGATTCTGGACCTCACTCCCAAACGATGAAACTTTTCTACCTGTGCAGCTCAGCACCTTCTCTGCAATTTATAAAGAATAGTCCTAAGATGTTAAATGATTTACCCAAGGTCACAAAGGCAGTATGTGACAGAGGGAGACTTGATCCCAAGTTTTTGAGGCTAGCCACTTGTTTAGTCGTTTTCAATCATGTCCAAATCTTTGTGACCCTATTTGGGGTTTTCTTAGAAGAAATACTGGAGTGATTTGCCATTTCCTAGCTTCTCTAGCTTATTTGACAGATGAGGAAACTGAGGTAGACAGGGTTAAGTGACTTGCCCAGAGTCACACAACTAGTAAGTGTGTGAGGCCAGATTTGAATTCAGGAAGATGAGTCTTTCTGACCTTATCCACTGCACCACCTAGCAGCCACTATGACATGGTTATACTAAACCACTGTCCAAAAGGTTTTGCCTGTTTTCAGAGGTACTTTGGTACAGCAGCTTGTGTGTGTCTGTGTGGAAGTGTCCTATCAAAACAAACTATTCCTCCTCAAAATAAAACACCATTCAAACCCTGTTTTGCATTATCTATCTCATGGGTCAATTTGACATAACCGTCTACACAGGAAAACAAGTAGATTTTTTAAAATGCCTGTTGGCCAGATTAGGACATGAAGTTAGACAGGCAGCCCATTGAGTTGGCCCATATGTCTTGGAAGGGCATTACAGATGAAGAAGGAAAGGGGCCCAAAATTGAAGAGGGGTAGTGACTGACAATTGGGTCTCACTTGGGAAGTAGTTTGGGGCTTTTCCAATGCCAAAGAGCACTTTTTTGTTTTTGTTTTTAGGCAATTGGGGTTAAGTGACTTGCCCAGGGTCACACAGCTAGTGTCAAGTGTTTGGTCTGAGGCTGGATTTGAACTCAGGTCCTCCTGACTTCAGGGCCAGTGCTCTATCCACTGCGCCACCTAGCTGCCCCCAAAGACCACTTTTTGGAACAGAATCATTCACCTGCTGATGTCCTATGTCGCTGGGAATCATGAAACGCCATGGAGGAATAACTCACAATTTCAGTGACCCAAGTGTGGAGGGGGATTGTAAAGGAGGCTTCAACCTATCCATTCCTCATCAGTCATTCGACTGAAATTCTGCATGTTATAGCAAGTGTTCCATGGTTCCATCTACAATACGTGGCCATTTTTCAGCATGAAAATTACCTTACCACGACGTGCTCCAAAATTTCCCTTACCCTCCCTTCTGCCTTAACTCTGGGAGAAGACTCTCAATCTGGACCAATGGGATCTATCAGGACACACAATCTTTAAAGGGTTCTGTGAATCGAGTTAGTTTGGGGAACACAGAACTACGACTGCCCCTTCCCTTAATACACCTTCCCCTTGTGTGTTGTGTCGATATATATATATCTATATCTACATCTAGCTACCTATATGTTTATTTGTTGTTGTTGAGTTATTTACATTGTGTCCAACTCTGTGACCCTATTTGGGGTTTTCTTGGCAAAGATACTGAAGAGGTTTGCCCCTTCCTTTTCCAGATCATTTTACAGATGAGGAAACTGAGGCAAACAGGATTAAGTGACTTGTCCAAAGTCACACAGCTAGTTAGTGTCCGGGTCAAGATTTGAACTCGGGTCTTCCTGACTCTAGACCCAGCACTCTACCGCTGTGCTACCCAACTGCCCTATACAGGTTTATAGGGCTTTGACAAAGCACTTATCTCACAACTACCCTATGAGGTAGGTAACACAAGCTATTATCCTCAATTTACAAATGAGGAAACTGAGGCTCAGCCACAGCTTGGAAAGGGCAGAGCTGGGCCTGAAACACAGTTCCAGAATCAAACCATACCCAAATCCCAAGGGAGGAGGAAGGAGTCATCTGAGGGCCTCTTTTAGCCTCACTTCACAAATGAAGGACTGAGCCTCAGAGGTGGTAACTTACCTAAAAAAGTTCACAGAGGAGCAGAACTGGGACAATAACCCAGGTTTGGACTCCCACGTAGCCCAGTACCCTTTCCCCACTCCAGAGTGCTTCCTGACACCAAAGCTCTAGGTCAAGTCCCACCGAAACTATGAAAACCACAATCCTGAACAAAGCTAGATTTAGTTAGTTGAGCTTAATGCCTAGCACATAGTAGGCACTTACCAAATGCTTCCTGACTTGGCTTTTCAACATTTCATTATAGTTCCTTCTCAGAACAATGCACAGAAAATCAGATTTGTGTCTGCCCCAGCTCTCACCCCCAATACCCAATGTGTCTAGAAGGCTGGAAGGCCAGCTTCAACCACAGCTGAGGTTTTCCTTATCTCCACCAGACTTGGAACTCAAGTTACTGAGTGTCAGTTTGTACAAGGGAAGATAAAGTTTCTTCCTTTGCTTGGGTTTGTGGAAAGTGGAGGGAAGAGCCCAAGATAAGGGGATGCAGGTGTGAAAAGGGCCCGGACTTTTGTTGTTGTGTGGCAGCCCCAGAACTCCTCAGAAAAGACACCTAATCCTTTCCTAATCTTATCAGAGGCCCTGGGGGGGGGGGGAGATTTCCAGGAGTGGAGTCTTATCAGGAATACCCTGGTACCAAGAGGCAGACAGGTGGTGGAGTAGACACAGGAAGAATATATTAGGGGGGTAGGGGGCAGCCCTAGACCCTCAGGCTGAAAGAGCCAGAACATGATCCCCCCAAAGATGTTCCCACCCCCTCCCACTGCAAACTAACACCCATCCACTCCCTCCAAAACAAAACCAAAAATCCCTAAGTCAGTGAATTTCTGAGGTTCAGAGGCCAAGAAGTGAATGGGGCAGCATAGACTTATAGGCCAGGATTCAAATCCTGCCACAGACACCCACTAGCTTTGCACATCACCGAGCAACTATAGAAAAGGTAAAAATCAATGGTGTCTAATGTCACAGCACGTGGTGTTCATAGAGCCATAGATTTAGAGCTAGAGGGATCTCGGAAGCCAGCAGGCTCAGGCTTCATTTTGCAAGTAATAAAACTATGGCTAAGGGATGCTAAGTGACTTCCCCAGGGTGACTAAGGCACTGAAAAACATCAGAATCAAGATTTGAACCCAGGTCCCTTGAATTCCTACTGGTCCACTCCTTGCTGTAAGGATCAGATAAAATGATAATGTATTGTAAAAATCCATGGTAATAGTAGTTATTAAATTTTATCATCTTGAACAACCCTTCTCCTGATTTTACCAATGAGTTAACAGAAACCCAGACAGAGGTTAAGGAACCTGGGTTTGAGTCTTGGCTAATCCTTATTAACATGTCTCTTAACTAAGCCTCAGTTTCCTTATCTGTAGAAGGGGGATAGAGGCAGCTAGATGGCTCAGTGGATAGAGCCCTGGGCCTAGAGTCAGAAAGACCAGAGTTCAAATTCAATCTCCCACAACTTAGTAACTGTGTGACCCTGGCCAAGTAATTTACCCTGTTTGCCTTAATCTATTGGAGAAGGAAATGGCAAATCACTCCAGTATCTTTGCCAAGAAAACCTATGAATAGTGTGGTCCACAAGGGTCACTGAATAGCAAACAGAAGGGGGATAAGCAGTATTACCTCCCTCCCAGGTTATAGTGAGGTAAGTGCTTTGTAAACATTTGTAAACAAAGCTCTGCAAACACTTAAAGGCTAGAGGACCCTCTCAGACCTTCAAGGGAAAAAAAAAGTCACTTGCTTAGACTCTCACTGGCCTTCTCTACTTAGTGGAGAGAGAGAGAAAGAGAAGTTCCCCTTAGAAGATTCTACTTCCGCCTATCACTTTTGTTAAGTTTCTTTAATAAAAAGTCTTGGTATGTTTACACGATGGTCAGCATTTAGCATGATACTTCACCTACTTCACACACACATACACGCACATATATATATAAAAAAAAAACAAAAAGTAACCTATAGGCATTCTATATAAAAAATGTTGTCATTGTCTTGGAGAAAAAACAAACAAACAAAGCCTCCTGCGGCTATCTGGTAGGGATGATTTCATCATCTTCTGGGCTCTATCCCCCTTCCTCCAGACTCAGAAAGAAACTGAAAGAACTAGAGACGCCTGTCTCTCTCTGGTGACTGTTTGGCTGCGTTTCCACACAAAGGAGAGGGACAACTTCTAGTGGATAAATGGCCAGGAGGCAACCAAGGGCAGGTATTTCTAATAGGCAGAATGTCAATTATCTACAGACCCAAAGAAGAATCCCAGCCCAAGCCACCATTTCTCCTTCTTTGTGTTGAAGCAGATCTGCGATCTAGGCTGTCCTGGGTCAAAACTGAATTTCCATCAGATTCAGCCAGATATTTAAGTGAGGAAGGCTCTCATGAAAAAGTCACTTTCTTGATAAATTCATTAGGCTTGAAAGATGATCTCAGGCCTAATGACACATTGAGGTCTGCTCTCAGTCAGGGCAGAGGAGTCACTTTATCTCTGAGGTACAGGTACCTGCTCCTAGGAGTGGGGTCCACAGAACAAGAAATGAGTTCTGTCCAGAGCAAGAAAGCCCCTGCTAGTCTTCCTCCCCTCCACCATACATGTCGGCCAGCTTCTTAAATCGACTGCCCCATTCATTCAGATAGTCGTAATCCTGGTTCTGGTCTGAGTTGGAAGATGTGAGGGAGCTCAGGGAGGCTGCGTCCTGAACCACTTCCTTCATAGTCAAACACCAGCAGGGAGTCATAGGGTGGGGCCGTGGGATCGCTGTTGGCCGCCTTTAGGTTCTGCAGAACACAGAGCATCTGGGAAGTTATTGGGCCCAATGCACTGACCTCAACAGTGGGCACTGCAAGGGCACCCTCTGCTTTCCACCAGTCCCCACCAAAACCAACCCCCAGGGAACATCCTAGGGTTTAGAGCAGGAGGGACCTAAGAAGCTGTTGACCCATTGCCTGGAGAATGTTTTTCCCCATCTCTTCCTAGACCGATTGTGCCTATGATACCTAGAAAGTCAAACTGTAACCAAATACAAATATGCTATATATGATATAATATGTTATATTATGATGGCATAATATTATAATATGTAATATATTACATATGTGGGGGGGAGACAGACATAGGGGAGGGAGGGGGTGAGACAGAGAGAAGAGGAGAGGAAAGATAGAAAGAAAGAGGGAGGAAAGAGAGAAGGTGAGAGGAAAGAGAAAGAGAGGGAAAGGAAAGAGAGAGGGAGAGAGAGAGAAGACAAGAGAGGAAAGAGAGAGGAAAGACAGAAGATGAGAGGACAGGAAAGAGAAGAGAGAGAGAGAGAGAGAGAGAGAGAGAGACAGAGAGAGACAGAGACAGAGACAGAGAGAGAGAGAGAGACTCTCAGATGAAGAAGATAAGAGCCAGAGAAAAGTGACTTCCTAACGTCAGTCAGAATAGAGAGCCCCATTAATGCTTTTAGTTGGGGAGGAGCTGAATGCTCCATCTCCTTTTACCTTCATGGACAAGTTCAAATGAAAGCTACCCTTTAGACAGAGGATGACTGACGAAGCTTTCAAGCCTCCTTAAAGCCTTGTCTCAAATGACATTTGTTGTTTTCTTTCCTCCCATAGGTATGCGTACAGTTGAGTTGGGACTAAAGGATGTTACTTGGCAGGAACCAAGCTGAGGTCATGAGACAGGTGGCGGTGTTAGGCGCACCTTGGAGACAAGGGCTGTCCACATTCCCCCTGGGTCTCCTGCCTCCTAGTAGCATACAGTTTGTGAACCACTTTCTTTTGGAAGGTCAGATGACCGGCCATTTTCTCACCTTGACATCCTGGCTCCCTACTTGCCCCATGTAACAAAAATGAAAGCCTCTACTTTGCAAAAATTGGAAAACTGGAGTGGCAAAGATCCTACAGATGTAAAAGTGACCTCGAGAGTCACCTAGCCCAAAATGCCTCATTTTGTAGATGAAGAAACCGAGATGCAGAGAGGCCCAACATCCCAGAGATGGCAGGCTCTTGGCCTTTCCATCGTGCCAGGAAGATGAGAGTCAACAGCAAACACAGGATCAGAACAGAGGCACGTGGGGCTCTGGCCCAAGGCTGTGTCCTCTTGAGCACATCCATCACTAAGCTTTTTTCCTTATTAAGTGACCCATGCTAGAGCTGAGGCGAAATGGCAGAAAACAAGTCTCATCACGCTGGCCAAGCAGCAGAGGATGCTGGGTTCTTCACACTGTGTCTGCCTGCAAGGGTCACATAGCTTCAGATACAGACAAGTCCCTTTGAAAGGGAGGGAGGACTCCTCCCTTTGTAGGGGTAGAATGCTGCACACAGTGGTGGTCTTGGCTGACATGTGGCCCCCTCCCCTTTCAAAATTCTTTGTGGTAAGGGATGATTCTGTCTGGGAGGGGGACTGGGGGTTGAGGGGGATGGGAAAGAGACATATGGGGAAATGTAGGGGATATAAAAATAAAAGATAAGATAACCAATCTTTTAAAAAAAAAAAAAGAAGAGAAACTGGAGCCCCACATTCGTCTGATGGGCAACCTAGGGGAAGTAGAATAAGGCTCTTCCTCACCTCAATGATGAAATTGCCAATCTCATCTGGGTTGGCTGGGCGTGGCCGGTACAGCGGGGGAGGGATGAAGGTGGGTACCACATCATTCCTGAGTATCACCTCTGGTCGGGCATCCAGGCCTCTATGTAGCTGAGTAATATCATAGTCCTTTTGGGGAGAGAGCGTATGAATATGGGCATCCACCCTTGAATCCCAGACCTACAAACTCTGCCACCTGCCTGTTTGGGTTACATAGTGAAGCTCAATTGGTGGGTCTGGGACTTCTGAAACCCTGGTCATATCTCCATCATATACATGACAGAGGGGACCTTGGGATGGGCAAGGAGAGGCCAGAAAATTGACCTTCGGGGTTGGCAGAGATCATAAGGAGATCAAAGGGAACTACCTTTGGGGTTATATGGGGATGATCTCTATGGTGGGGTAGCCAATGAATTCAGGAGCCCCTCCCTGACAAGAAAAGACCCCCAGAGATGTTCAAAAGCCATGATGAGGGTCACTGCAGCAGTGAGTCATAGGGGGGGAGGAAGCGGGGGCTGAGGCAGGGAGGACCCCTCCCCCAATCCCAATTCCCCAGACATCAGAATCCCCAACCTGGTCCTCTTCACCGCCCCCCTCCTCTCCATAGTAGAACACGTTGTCCCGGGTGTCGTCTTCGGGAAGTAGGAGGGGCTCCTTCAAATTACTCTTCCTTCTCATCAACAACATGAGGGCAAACACCAGGACTGGAAGGAAGAGAGCACATGACTCCAAATCCCATTGAGGATAACAGTAATCATAATAATCATAAATGATGATGACAATAGCAACTAACATTTACATAGCATTTACTATGTGCCAGGCACTGTGCTAATCACTTTACCAGTTGGTCTCATATGGCCCTCACAACAAGTTATTATTATCTCCATTTTACAGATGAGAAAACAGATAAGTAGATACATAGGCAGCTAGAAGACCAAGTGACTTGCCCAGGGTCATATAGCCAACAGACATCCGAGGTAAGACTTGAACTCAGGGCTCTCAGGCTCTGAAGGCTGCCTCTCATAAATTAATATTTCTTTTTTCCCCCTTTTTTAGGCAATTGGGGTTAAGTGACTTGTCCAGGGCCACACAGCTAGTAAGTGTCAAGTGATTGGTCTGAGGTCGCATTTGAACCCAGGTCCTCCTGACTTCAGGACCGGTGCTCTATCCACTGTGCCACCTAGCTGCCCCATAATTCAATATTTAATCATCACTTAGTATAGAGCCTGGAACATAGTGGATGCTTAATAAATGTTTGTTGATTGATTTAATAAAAAGTATAAAACTCATGCAAAAACTAATATGATTTGGATGTAGAATCTTCCTAGACTTTCAGCCACTCCCCCCAAAGAGACTGCACATAGTGAGCACTCACTCAGCAAGGCTAAGCCAATTCCCATGATAGGCAGGAAGAAGCTGCCCTTCCAGGCCCCTGGACAGATGGTCACATGGCCCTCACAGTCACACACTTTTGCCTTGATCACAGTCAGCTGGTCTTTGCCGTGGTTGTCAGACAGAGTAAGATGGAGATCATAATCATCGCTCTTGAGGAATTTCTTCAGCGACAAGGCCACAGCATCTCCTGTAGATGGACATTGTGCTCACTGATTGATGGCCATCCTCCTCACTTGGATGGACAAGACGAGAAAACTCACAGCCTCAGATATCTACACACAAATGCACAAAGTGTGGGTGACAAGAAGCTGGGAGGCATCCAGGGGAAGGACAACCAGGACGGTGAGGGGCCTCAAGATCCTGCTACATGAGGACAGGTTCAAAGAACTGGGAATGTTTAGCCTGGAGGGTGGAGGGTGACATTAGGAAGGCAGGATCCCTGTCTTCAAGTATGTAAAGAGCTGTTTTGTAGAAGATAAATTACACCTGCTGTGCTTGGGCCCCAGAGGGGAGGACTACGAAAGGTGGGTGGGGAACAGTGAGTGCATTCAAGGTGCAAAATGGCAGTCTTGTCTTGACAGCCAGAAAAACTCCTTCCCAATGAGAAGAGAGCTATCCAAAAAAAAAAAAAAAGGAATGGGGCAACCTGGGGAGATGAGGGCTTCTAATGCCCTGGGCGTTTTCTAGCAAAAGATGATGGGCCATTTGTCAAGGACGCTACAGAGATTTTTGTGTGCAGGTATAGGTTGGACCAGATGGTCTATGACATCCCTTGTAACTCTAAGATGTGGGGTAGGGATAGGGATAAGGAACGTTTCTGCAGTATTTCCTATTCACTAAGCACCTTTCATGCACTCCCTCATCTCCCACTCATAAGACCCCTGTGAAGGTAACACAAGTAATATTAGTCCCATTTTAAAGATGCAGAGACTCAAGGCAAGTGACGAACTCAAGGTTTCAGAGGTAGAAAAGTGGTTCTTCTGGGAGGAAAATGCATCATGATGCTCTGCTCTGGGGGCTGAGTGAGCTCAGTACAAGTGATGGATATGACCTCCCTGAAAACATCAGTGCCAACACCTTTTAGGGTCATTAAGGTACCTCTCTCATTCATTTCCGCAGTCCAGTAAATATCAGAATCATGAGTGAGCTGGGCCCGGAAGGGGGTGGTATGGGGAGGCAGATCCTTGTCCGTGATGTTGAGCACCTGGGGCACAGTATTTTGGTTGCAGATGGTAATTTGGCGAGGCTCCGGGATGGGCCCGTGGTCATTCACATCCAGGAGGGTCAGCAAGAGGGTGCCAGTGCCGGTGGCAGAAGGATTTCCTGGTTAAAATCCCCCCCCCCCATACACATGAGTGACTTTTAACATTCTATGCCTGGGAGCCAATTCACCTTGCGACTTGGTTCAATAGCGGGTTGAGTTTCTGGGTTTGGGCTCTGGCATCCCGAAGAAGCTCCAGGCTAGAGGAACATCTCTCCCCATCCCTCCCCACCAACTTGCATTGGCATCTCTCAGTTCCTCAAGTACCCTCCTATCATTACTCCAGCACTTATAAGGTGAGGAGATAACCCTACCCAGGATGCTGGGATGATAAGTAAGGAGAAGATCATGCTAATGTCGGCAGAACCAACTGCCACACCTCCATACCCCCATACAACCTTAGAAACCCTCAATAATCTTTGACTACGGTCATTTATGAACAGACATTGAAGTGATCATTGAAAATTGTTTACTGATTGAGATTCAGCATTTTCTCACCACATGCCTATTTGAGAGAAATAAGGAGAGGGAGAGAGAATTCTATTTATATGGCTGGGAATTCTTACCATTATCAGTGGCCAGGACTATGACCATATAGGTATTATTGGTGACAAACTGCTCGTTTTCCCTGTCTAGGAGGCCCTTGGAGGTGATCTCTCCACTCTCTGGATGAATCATTAGCCACTCTGCAGGGTCACTCATAATTTGATAGCTGGGAAATGAAAGCATAACAGTAGGTCAGAGAATATTCCTGGAGGGCAGCTCAGCTTACGTGGTTGTTTGAGAGTGAAAACGGGGAAAGAACCTTAGCCAGGCCTAGAAACTCCAATGGAAAGAGACCAAAAGCCTCAATCTTGTCAAATGTTATACCCCGCCCCAGCTCTACCCTACCTAACCCCAAGGGTGGTGGTGGGGGACAGAAAAAAGCAAAATTACTTCAGGGATTTGATTCAGCTCAATTCTATTCCATTCAACAAGCATTAGTATGTCAGGTCAACAAGCATTTACTAAGCACCAGGGCTAGGCACTGTGTTAAGCTTTAGTGTTATAAAGAAAGGCAAAAATAGCCCCTGCCCTCAAGGAGCTTAAAATCTAATGGGCATTATGCTCTAATTAAGCATTTACTATGTGCCAAACAGTGAATTGGAGTTAAAAAACTAAAAATGTTCAACAGTGCCAGCCCTCAGTGAGGGCTGGGGAGGAAGAAGACAAATAAGTACAAAAATAGGTAAATACAAAATTCCACAAGTGGGCAGACACTTAGCCTCAGGGTCAGGAAGACCAGGGCTCAAATCCTATCTCTGACACATACTGGCTGTGTGATCCTGGGCCCATCACTTAACTTCCTGAGTGTCCTCAGGCCACTCTCAAGATTATAAATTGGTGATCTGAATGCACTGGCAGGATTTTGTGCACCAATTAAATCACAAAGGGGGAAAAAAAGAAAGCGGAGATGGGGGAAATCAGACAAATAGGATTTGAGCCTTACGTGGACCTAAGGATTCCAGGAGGTAGAGATGACAAAGAATTCTGGATGTGGGGACAGTGTGTGCAAAGGCATACAGAATGTCATGAATGAATAAATGAAGGAAAAGGCATTATTAGGTGCCTTGTGTACAGGGACCAGCAAGTAAACCAATCTGGCTAGAACATAATGTGTAAAAGGGAGAGTGATGGGAAAGAAGCAGGAAAGTTAGGTTGGGGCCAGGGTGTGAAGGGCTTCCAACAGGGATGCTTAGAACATTCCATCCCCTTCTTCAGCAGGAGCTGGGAACACGAGGAATGGGGCTGGAGGGTACTTCTCGGACCGGGTGGAAGCTGCCAGCACCTGGCTCTGGGCCACGGGTAATTCTGGGGTACCTGAGCTTCTGATTTTGCTGTCTGTCAGGGTCCTGGGCAGCGTAGGTGCAGATCTTTTCCCCCACGCGCACACCCTCATAGATGTCCACGACTTTAGAGGGTGGGAGGAAGGTGGGCGCTTCATTCACATCCACCACGTGCACCGTGACTGTGGCTGTGGACGTGGGCAGCTTCACCACGAAAGGAGCCTCATTGGACACCACGACATGAAGAGTGAACTGGTTCTTGGTCTCGAAGTCCAAGCCCTGAGGGGAGAAGCCAAAGGTCCTCATCCTGAGGAAGGTAACCTCTGCTATTTCTTGCTTCTGCCAGGACTTTGTCAAGGGGAACAAGGTCACGGTCAAGTACAACCATTGCTCTATGGTTGTGGGGGGGGGGGAGCAATTTCATATTTAGGACCACTGGACCCTGGAGGCCCCTGCTGATTCTCTTCCTTTGCTCCCCAAAGGACCCATGATTCTCCCTCGGGGTAACACACGTAAGGTACTCACAGACTAGACAGAGAACTACTAGTCCAGACAATTACTGTTTTTGATTCTACATACATTTATTAAGTACCCATTATGGGCTGGGTACAGATTCCTAGCACCAGGCATACAATAGAAAAATGAAAGGAACCTTACTTTGAAGGAATTTATGAGTTTTCATTTTATTTTATTTTATTTTTATATCACTTTTCTAATATATCAGTCAAGAGATTTTTCTTTAGAATAGATTTTTATTGATGTTTTTTGTTTTTACCTCTCCTACATTTCCCTTGTAATTCTTTCTCCTCCCCTCAGAGAGCCATTCCTTATAATATATCTTTTCCCCCTGTTTTTTTTTGGGGTGAGGCAACTGGGGTTAATTAACTTGCTCAGGGTCACACAGCTAGTAAGGCTGGATTTGAACTCGGTCCTCCTGACTCCAAGGCCGGATCTCTATCCACCATGCCACCTAGCTGCCCCTAATATATCTTTTAACATATATGTATGTATGTATGTATACACACACACACACAAAGTGGAAGAGAAAAAAAAATTCAGCAGAACCAACCAGTACAGAAAAAATCTTACACTATTTGCAATATTCTGTACCCACAAGCCCTCACCTCTGAAGAGGAGGGGAAAAGAAGGGAAGTGTGTTTATATCTAGTCCAGAGATTTTTTAAAAATAGCTAATTTATTTTTAGTTGTCAACATTCACTTCCATAAGATTTTGAGTTTTAAATTTTCTCCCCCTCCCTCTCCCTTCCCTGCCTCCCCCAAGATGGCACGCAACATGATATAGGCTCTATTTATGCATTCATATTAAGCATATTTTCACATTAGTCATGATGTAAAGAACAATTAAAACTAATGGGAGGAACCACAAGAATGAAGCAATAAAACAAAACAACAAAGGAAAAGGAGAGCAAATAGTCTGCTTCCATCTGCATTTCAATTCCACAGTTCTTTCTCTGGGTTATCCAGAGATTTTTTTGTAAAGCACCAGAAAAATATCTAAAAACCACACTCCTTGGTGAATGGTGTGAGGACAGGTTCTCCTGGCTTATGGGGGGAAAAGGACTTCTACCCTTGGCTGCTCCACACCAGGCACGCTTACCTTCTTGGTTGTTAAGATGCCTTGGTTGTTCTCTGGGTCTGTAGTTATGGCGAAGTGGCCCCCCTCGTCTCCTTGGGTGATCTGGTAAATGGCTCTCCATGCTGGTGTATTGGGAGCATCCAGGTCTGTCACATTCAACCTTTGAACTTCAACCCCATCCTTGTTCTCAGGCACCTCAGCTATATACTGCCAAGAGCAAGGAGTTTGGATTAGCTTTAGACCCAGACTGACCACCTACCTTGAGGAACCAAGGGTGGCTTCCACCCCCCACCACTCCCCATTCCCCAAGGAAGCCACTTCTCTTGTCCTGATCCCAATCTCTTGAGCCTTGTGCCTCTGCCACATCAGGAAGGAGCTACAAATGACCTGAATTCCTGAGGGGATAAAGATACCTCATGTGGTAGGAGGGTCATTGAATCAGACAACCAAGAGCTTCTGGGATATAAATATTCACATGGTAAGAGGGTCACTGGTCCAGGACACCAAGAGCTTCCTGAGCTACAGATACCCATATGGTAGGAGAGTCACTGATTCAGATCACCAACAGCTTCCTGGGATACAGATACCCATATGGTAGGAGGGTTATTGGTCCAGGTCACCAAGAGCTGCCTGGGATATAGATACCCATATGGTAGGAGGGTCATTGGTCCAGATCACCAAGAACCTCCTGGAATATAGATACCCATATGGTAGGAGGGTCATTGGTCCAGATCACCAAGAGCCTCCCGGGATGTAGATACCCATATGGTAGGAAGGTCATTGGTCTGGGACACCAAGAGCTTCCTGGGATATAGATATTCATATAGGACAAGGGCCATTGGTCTAGGACGCCAAAAGCCTCCTGAGATACAGATACCCATATGGTAGGAGGATCATTGGTTCAGAATGCCAACAGCCTTCTGTGCCTACTCTTGGGAGCTTAAGGCCTGCTCTCTGGTCAGCTGTGGCCTCTCCTACCCACCCCAGCTGAGGCCCAAAGTACAAGACAAAAGGGTGGTGGGGGTAGGAGTTGAGAATGAAGGGCTGGTATGACATCCCCCTGGCATCAGGATCATAGGCATAGAAATGGGAGGAAACTTAGAAGCCATTAAGACCAAACCCTTTATTTTACAGAAAACACTGAGGCAGAGGTTAGGTGACTTGTCCAAGGTCACACGAATAGGAAATGTCTGAGGCAGGATTTTGAACAGAGGTCTTCCTGACTCTAAGCCCATACACTCGATCCATGACCATGTGCCACCTTGAGGTCCAAGAGGAGTCCAGTGAAGGAGTCAGGAGCTCCAAGGACCTTGGCTCAGAATGAATCATAGGAAGGTCATAGGTGTCACTTCTAGGATTGATATTAGTGGTCATTAAGTCTGAGTCCTTCCTTTTACAAATGAGGAAAATGAAGCTCTAAGAGAGGAGAAGTGATCTGTCCAATGTCACACTGGTCATAAATAGCAGACTTAGGGGTGCAAACTCAGGCCCTAAGGCTCCCAATGAAGGGCTCCCTTCCAGAGACTAGACTGCATTGCCTAATATATTGACATCATGATTCCAGAACTGTGCACCAGAACGGGGCTGGTTTGGAAAATTTCAATCCTCCCCTTCCTGGTAAGGAAGAAGGATGTTACCTTTTGGGGGTCAAACACAGGCGCGTTATCATTAGCATCCGAAATCTCCACCACGGCTGATGCTGTAGTAGCGAGGCCTTCTCCTTCCATGTCCGCAGCCTGGATGGTCAGTGTGTACTGGGCCACCCTCTGTCGAAGGAGAAAAGAGGAGAGTAAAGAGCCCAATTCCAGCTGTAGTGGAGGAAACTCTTACAGGGCTTAGATTGAGAGCTGGGGAAGAGCCTGACAGAACACCAAGTCCAACCCCCCAGTTGACACATTTGGAAACTGAGACGCACAGAGGTGAAGTGATTTGCCCTTCCTCTTATTGCTGCCCATGTATTCTGCCATCCAGTGACATTCGCCTCTTTGCTGTTCTTTAAATAAGACGCTCCATCTCCTGACTACTATTACCATTTTCTCTGGCTGTGCCCCATACTTGGTACTGTCTCCCACGCACCCCATCTCTGCCCTCCTGGCTCCCCTGACTTCCTTCAAGCTCAGCCAAAATCCCACCATCTACAAGAAGCCTTTCTCAACACCCTTAATACTAGTGCCTTCCCTCTCTTGATTATGTTGCCAATTTACTTTGTATCTATCACATTTGTACAAAGTTGTTTGCACATCATCTCCCACATTAGATGGGGAGCTCTTTGAGGGCAGGAATTGTCTTTTGCCTTTCTTTGTATCTCCGGCACCTAGCATGGTGCCTGGTATATAGTAGATACTTAATAAAGACTCATTGACTTGACTTGCCTGAGGTCACATGCGTATTAAGAGGCAGATCCAGGATTCAAACCCAGGTCCTGATCCCAAATCCTGTGCTCTTTCCACCATGCTAGGGTCCCTTCTCAGCCCTACGCTGTACCACCAGAGCTTGTCTAGTTATCACCCCACCATCCCTCTAGGGAACTTGGATTTGGCTTTTTTTGTAGGAAAAAATACAAGTACCCCCAAGGGCTCACCCTCTCATTTCTCTCCTTATGTCCTCCCCTGGGCTGGGCCAAACCCAGAACAGGGATATAAACTTACTACCCCTCCCCATCACTCTCTTTTCCCAAATCCTGTTCCTTGTGGTCATATCCTTCATACCCTACCAAGAGAGTTGTTCTCATGACTTCTCTTCCCCTCTGAACAAGGGCTGACCTGGGTATAGAAACAGTTCATTCTGGACCCGCTCTGAAGACAGATTGACAATTGGTTTCCAGTCTAAACTACAGTCTTGGGAGACAGAAGGGCAATAGTATTCTTAAGAGTAATTCATTATCCCTTCCACATTGCTGGGGTTTAGGGGTGCAGTATACCCGTGACATGGAAAATCTGCACAAAACTTTTTTGGCCCCCCCTTCTTGCCAAAAAAGAAGTCCGAATTTTTTTCTTTTTCTTTCATGGAGTGTTGATATTATACAACACTATACATATATTTTACGCATTTCTGAGTTTCTAAACCTTTTGTGTTGTCTACAGCTTCTGTCAAACTCCCAGAAAACTCTCATTTAATTTCTTATGCTGACCTGCGATATATTGAAACCCCATCGTGATGTTGAAGGAATAACTGCACATCTAGTCAATCATTTGGGACAAATCTGTGAATTGAGGTGTGATATGGGGGTGGGGGTTAGAAAGGCTAAGGAGAAAATACCATACCCATTCATTTCACAGCTTCCTCTTCCAAAGTTCTGGAGGGCTCATTTAGCAACCCACTAATTAGGCCAGCAGGGGGCTATGTTAAGTAACCTCCATTTTCCCTAGAAAGTTTATATCCTACCAACTGAGGGCCCAGAGAATTTGGGAAACACTACGTAATGGCATAAACATCCTCATTCTCCAGCAGGAAAGTCAATGTACTTCTAGGTCGGTGGGCCGAGTTTCTTCAGGAGAAAGGTTGATGAGCTTAAGGGTCCAGAGCCACCATGGTGACTGACCTCTCTGTCCAAGCCACTGGCAATCACACTAATGGCCCCAGTCTCTCGATGGATGGTGAACATGTGGTCATGAGGCTCCTTGGGATTCTGGTCCAGGATGAAGTAAGCGACTGCTCCATTGTGGGTGATGGGATCGTCTGCATCTGTGGCTGATACCTGCATCACAGAGGTACCTGGGGGAGAAAGAGAAGCGGGCTCTGATGCCGCCTTTGCTCGGGGCGACTTCATTTCCTAGGCTAATAAATTATTGAACTGGGGGTGGGAACAAAGATGGAGGAGAGAATAGACTACTATGGACAAATTTCTGTCCCCTGGATCCTTTCACCTACTCCCAGCTCCCTATTTCTTTCTTTTTTCTTTTTTAATATTAAACATTAATTAATTTTTATTTTTCTCTTCCACTTTCCAATTTTCACATTCACTTCCACAAGATTTTGAGTTCCAAATTTTCTCCCCATCTCGCCCCTCCCCCACCCCAAGATGGCATGCATTCTGAATACCCCTTCCTTTAATCTGCCCTCCCTTCTATCACACCCCCCCCTTCTCTTATCTCCTTCCCTTTCTATTTTCCTGTAAGGCAGGATAGATTTCTACACCCCATTGCCCATATATCTTATTTCCCAGTTGCAAGTGAAAACAATTTTTAACATTTGTTTTTAAAACTTTGGTTTCCAAATTCTCTCCCTTCCTCCCTCCCCACCTACTCTCACTGAGAAGGCAAGCAACTTGATACAGGTTATACATGTGTAGTCATGCAAAACACTTCCATAGTAATAATATTGTGAAAAACTAACCTATATTTCCCTTAATCCTATCCAGCCCTCCCATTTATTCTATTCTCTCTTTCAACCCTGTCCCTCCTCAGAAGTGTTTGCTTCTGATTACCACCTCCCCTGGCTCCCTATCTCTAGGCAGGGAATACAGTTCCAATCAGTGGCACTAACTTGTTAGATCAAGGGTATGTTTCTGATTCTCTCCCCTTCTCTCCCTTACCGGGCATGGCTCCTTCAGTGACGCTCCCCCTAAAGACCTCCTGGGTGAACTGAGGCTTGTTGTCATTCTGGTCAATCACGACAATAGAGATGTTCATGGGCTCTTCCACGGAGGCGCCATTCTCAGACACTGCATGTCCATACAGCTGTGGGGAAAGAAGATACAATGTCACTTCCTCTTCTGGAAAATAACGGTGCTTTCCCATTCTTGAAGCTAGTGGTCTTCAAAGTGTGGTTCAGGAATAGGAGCTCCTGAGACCCTTTGAGGGGGGTCTGTAAGGTCAAAACTATTTTCATAATACTACTAAGACTTTTAATTTCTAAAATAGTCAACATTTACAGATATAACCCACAAAAATAAAAGCTCTTTGTGGGAGGGGAGTTCTCCATAATTTTTAAGAGTGTAAAAGGGGTTCGGTTCTAACACTAAAAAATTGGAGAATTGCTGTTCTAATCCTAAGACTGAAATTGTAGTAAGTTCATTACAAGTATTTATCGATCATTTGCTCTATCCTACAGATAGAAGAAAGTACTCTTTGCTCTCAAGGATTTTATGATTTTTCAGGGGGTGGGAGGTATACAACACATGAAAAATTCAAAAAATAAATGTAAATAGTAAATGCGAAGTGATTACTGGTAGGGACCAGGAAGATCGATAACAATTGGGAAGGCCTCATGTAGAAGCTGCATGTGAACTGAGACCTGAAAGCAGACATGAGGAACTAAGGTATTGCATGCATGGAGAACAGCATAAGCAAAGACATGAGGTTAAGAGATGAAATACCATGTACTGGCAGCAGGCCAGGTAGGGAAGTTTAGCTGGAAATCAGCTCTCAGGTCCAGGTCATAGATTCCAAGCAGCCCCCATTCAGTATGCTTTTCATTTCCATTTCTCCAGGTGGAACATTTTCTTTTTCTTTTTTTTTTTTAGGTCAACCAGGTAACCTACCTCATACTTGGCGATTTTCTCCCGGTCCAGTGGCTGGTTCACCAGCAACCATCCTGTCTCCTTCTCAATGGTGAAGACCCCTTCAGGGGGGCTATCGGCCCCTGGTCCTGTGATGCTGTAGAAGATCTTGGTAGCTTTGTCCTTGTTGGATTTGAGCTGGAAGCAAAAGAGAAGTGGGGGAAGGGCAGGAGAGTCACAACTCCCATTGACATGGCACTGAGAGGTTTACCAAGTGAGTATTATTGTGCCCATTTTAAAATGAGAAAACTGAGGCTAAGAAAGCCATCGCAACTTAATGGCAGTCATATACCTAGCAAGTGTTAAAGCCAGGATAGAAACTAAGCAGAAACAGCTCAGAAGTGACTCCAGGAGCTGTAGCTCAAGCACCAGAAATCATGCACCTAAAAAATGATGGTTTGGGGGTCACTGAATTAGGAATAAAAGTATCTTGGGTTCTAAAGCCAGTTCTCCCACTGGCTGACTGTGTCACTTAACTACACACACTTGAGTTTCCCCATTTATAAAATATGAGCAGCAGGAATAATATTCAAATACTACAAGGTCGGGTGACTTCTGTCAGGGAAGAAAATTCACTGTGTGGGAATTCCTTCCACTAAAGAAGACCACACCTTACGGTTTGTTTTGTTTTTCAGTCAGGGCTCCTCCTCCCTTTCCCCTCCAAAATCCCTTTAACTTACATATAGGCTATTTCCCACCTATACACCCCACCTCACCCTCAGCTTAGCATGTAAGCTCCTTCGGGGTCTGGGACTTTTTTAAATGATCTTTGTATCTTTGGTACCCGGGCATGTAGTAAGTGCTTAGAAAATGCCTGTTTGTATATAGCCTGCATCAGATTGCAAGTTGTCTTGGGGAAGGAAGAGGGGAGAAAATTTAGAATTCAAAATCTTATAAAAGTGAATGTTGAAAAGTAAAAATACATAAATAAATGGAAGTGGGGAAGAAGCCTGTTTAATTGAATCAAATCTCCTAGCCCAATACAAACTTCAGTAAAGAATGAATTTGGGAAATAAAAAAATTATGAATTTCAGTTGGTTCCTGAGTTATTCGATTAAAATTAATGATGGTATGCTGGGAATTAGGGGGCCTGGATGCTAGATTATCTTTCTTTTTTTTTTTCAGTGATGTCAATTTTTTAAAAAAAATTTTTAATTTTTTCTCTAATTAATTTTAATTTCTAAAGCTTTGGGCCTGAAGTCAGGAAGACCCAAGTTCAAATCCAGCTTCAGACTCTTACAAGCCATATAACCTTGGGCAAGTCACTTAACCTCTGTTTGTCTTAGTTTCCTCAACTGTAAAATGGGGATAATAATAGTGCTTACATCCTAGGGTTGTCATGGGGATCAAATAAGATAATATTTGTAAAGCACTCAGCACAGTGCCTGGAACATAGCAGACACCATATAAATGTTAGCTACTATTATTATTAGCATTTATCATCTCTTCCTCTGCCTTCCATTCCATTTGAACAATAAAGAAAACCTTCGTAACAAACATGCATAGTCCAGGAAAATAAATTCCCACATTGACCATATCCAAAAACACATCTGAAGCCCAACACCTGTCTCTGTTGGGTAGCATGCTTCATCATCAACCTTTGGACCCATAATTTATCTCTACACTGACCAGAGTTCTAAAATCTTTGGGTTTTTTCTTTAAAATGTTGCCATTGTATAAATTGTTTCTTGGGTTCTACTTTCCCCCAGTATCAGCGGATATGAGTCTTACCAGGATTCTCTGATGTCACCCCTTTTGGAATTTCTTAATAATAATATCCTATTACATTCAGATGGCATAACATGTTCAGCTATTTCCCAATTCATGGGCACCCCCTTAGTTTCCAGTTATTTGCTACTACTAAAGGAGCGGCTGTGTGCACTTTGAATTCTTTAGAGTACTAGTCTCACAGTGATGTTGCTGAGTCAAAGGGTACGTATGCCCCATCCTTTTAGTCATAGTTCTGAGTAAATATGGTTCTATAGAAGTTTAAGTTGTCGAGTTTCATATGCCAGAAACATACTGTTGGAAGACTGAATATAGCTTTCTGCTTTGAGGGGGCTTTCCAGAACAGCTGAATCAATTTATTTACATCACTACCAGCAGGGCATAAGCGTGCTCATTTTCTTACATTCCCTCCAATATTTTGTTGTTTTCCTTTTTGGTCATTTTTGCCAGTCTGATGATGTGAGATGGAACCTTAGAGCTGAATTAATTTGTATTTTTCTAAGTATTCGTAGTTTGGAACATTTTTATTTTGTTGTTAATAAGTTGGAGCTCTTTTTTTGAAAATAGCCTGTTCATATTTTTTGACCATGTATCTGTCTATTGGGAAATAGCTCTTATTCTTTAAATTTGAATCAGTTCCTTATATACCTTGGCTATGAGACTTTTATCAGAGAAAGCTGCTGCAAAGATTTTCCCTGGTTACCAGTTTCCTTCCCAATATTAACTGCACTAGTAGAATCTTTCTAATTTTATGTAATCAAAATTGTCCATTTTATCTTCTGTGATCATTTCTGTCCTTTGTTGGGTCATGAATTCTTCCCTACCCAAAGATTTAAAAGGTAACTTCTTCCTTGCTCTTCTAATTTACTTATGTTGTACCTTTTTACATCTAAATCTTGTTTTCATGTGGTGTTTATCTTGATGTGTGAGATGTTGGTCTGTATCTAACTTCTGCCAGATAGTTTTCTAGTTTTTTCACAGCAGTTTTTGTGAGATAGTGAGTTTTTACCCCAGCAGCTGGGGTCTTTGCACTAATCTAATTCCAGGCTACTAAGTTCATTATTTTCTGTATGTTGTACACCCAGTCTGTTCCATCCTGTCCTCTTCTACTTTCTCCTCTTTTTGCTCCCCACCCTCTTCTTTACAAATAAGGTGGTAAAGAGAGGGAGTTTGCCTGACACTTGTGATCCATGAATGAAATGGAAATGTTTCCTTTTTATTTGCAACTCTTCTCTTCCCCTTGCCCTGACCCTCATCCTAAGACCTTACTATTTCTTTATTTCCTCTTAACACATCCCTTCACATTCCTATTTCCAACACTGGGGTTTATTTTGCTTATGACTATTCCCTTAGCCATTCCTGCCCATCCCCTCTATCTGCCTTTCTTGCCCTGACACCTATTTTTCTTTTGAGTGTAATGTATTTCAATATTGAAGTCTCTTCGTGTTTGTTACATACATACACATGTATGTATGTAAGTATAAATGTAATTGGGTTCCATCTTCCTTTACCAAGTTTAGATGGAAGTGAGGTTCCTGAGATTCCCATTCTTTCCATCCTTTTCTCCATGTTTAAATATCCTTCATCTTATGTATCTCTGTTAAGTGATAGTAATTTTTCTCTCCTTCCTCTTCCTTTCTTCCCCAGTATAGTCCACAATCCCTCTCATTTCTATCTTCTTCTGAGACCATCAAAATAAAACAAAACTACCCCTAGAGGACACTTCCAAGTCACATGTCCAACAAGATAGAGGACTAGACATTTTTTCCAATCCTCACAACCTCTCCAAAGAAGGAACTCTCCACAAGAGACAAAGGAATTCCAGAAATCTCCACAATTTAGGATGCTCAGCACCAAAATAAGGTGAAAACCCAATGAATTTAACAACAGTGAAGGCCAATAATCATAATCCCTGACTCAGCAGCCCAGATGCTGGGATGTACAAGTTGACGCAGAGGCAACAGAACTCAACTCTATCTCCTTTCCCTTCAGTGTCTTAAAAATCCAAAGGGAAGAAGCTTGCTCAAGATGTGACAACAATGTATCAGTGAAATGTGCCACAACAGAACTCAGCCGGAGAACTGGGGAACAAAGAAAACCGAGGGGGAAGGGACAGAACCTCATTAAGCCTGAGGAAAAGAGCCCAACATCTAGCTGGGGACGATTCTGTACCTCCAGAAGGTACTTGAGGCAGAGACCAATGCTAGTGACCTGTGAATTGCCAAGTATAGGAAGAGAGTGAGACAGCTCTGAGATCCAGCCCCCAGGGAAACTGCCCTCAAATGAGAGGGAGTTAAAAAGTGAGCAATAGGGGAAAACAAGGGGAAAAAGGCTGAAATTACCAAAGATCTCAAGAGGAAGAAAATTCAATTGAAGGCTTGAGCATAAGCAGATAAACCAACAGGGAAGATAGTAATAATAGAAGGAAACATGGCTTCCAGATCAGGGAAGAGTCCAGACATTTATGAATAAATATTTCAAGACCAATACCCAATGAAGCAGAGGACTCTGTGGATTCCCATAAAAGTTTGAAACCATAAGCAGGATGCTCCTGGAAGGTTTAAAAAATAAATAAGAATTGTGACAACAGAATTTATGCCTGCACAGCAGAAATAGCTGAATAGGAAAACTTGAATTCATGGTGGTAAGCTTCACCAAAGAAACAAAAGAGAAAATAAGTGATTGGAAATGCAAATATATAGAAGTGAAGGACAATCTAGAAGAAGAGAAGAAAAAAGTAATAACATTAAAAAAGCATGATCACCATACAACAAAATGTTGAGCTTAAAGACAGGATATCTAGAGACAACTTAAGAAAAATGACCCCCTAGGCCTTCTGTCTGTCATACTTGTCTTTCTTTATGGCTCTTAAAAGATACTGGGTCTCACACCATATACCAAAATAAAGTCAAAATGGGTTCATGACTTAGATATAAAGGCTGATACCATAAGTAAACTGGGAGAACAAGGAATAGTTTACCTATCAGATCTATGGAGAACAGAAGAATTCATGACCAAACAGGAGATAGAGAACATTATGAAAAGCAAAATGGATAATTTTGATTACATTAAATTGAAAAGTTTTTGCACAAACAAAGCCAATGCAACTAAGATTAGAAGGAAGGTAGAAAATTGGGAAAGAATTTTTACAACCAGTCTCTCTGATAAAGGCCTCATTTCTAAAATACATAGAGAAGTAAGACAAATTTATAAGAACACAAGCCATTCCCCAATTGATAGATGGTCAAAGGATATGAACAGACAGTTCTCAGATGAAGAAATTAAAGCCATCTATAGTCATATGAAAAAATGCTCTAAATCGTTATCGATTAGAGAAATGCAAATCAAAACAACTCTGAGGTACCACATCACACCTATCAGATTGGCCAACATGACAAAACAGGAAAATGATAAATGTTGGACAAGATGTGGGAAAATTGGAACACTAATACATTGTTGGTGGAGTTGTGAAATGATCTAACCATTTTGGAGAACAATTTGGAACTATGCTTAAAGGGCTACAAAAATGTGCATACCCTTTGATCCGGCAATAGCACTTCTAGGGCTATATCCCAAAGAGATCAAACAAATGGGAAAAGGACCCACATGTACAAAAATATTCATAGCAGCTCTTTTTGTGGTGGCAAAGAATTGGAAATTGAGAGGATGCAAGTTGTGGTATATGAATGTAATGGAATACTATTATGCTATAAGAAATGATGAACAGGCTGACTTCAGAAAAACCTGGGAAGAAGAAGACTTATATAGTCTGATGCTGAGTGAAGTGAGCAGAACCAAGAGGACTTTGTACACAATAACAGCCACGTTATGCAATGGCTAATATTGTTAAACTGAACCCTTCTCAGCATTACGAGGATCTAAGACATCTCCAGAGGCCTCGGGATGGAAAATGCTGTCCACATCCAAAGAAAGAACTATGGCAGTCGAATCGCTATCACTTATTTTTACCTTCTGTTGAGTTTTGTTTCCTCTTTCCGATGGTTCCTCCTATTGGTTTTAATTTTTACTTACAACTTCACTAATGTGAAAATATGTTTAATGGGTATGTAAATGTAAAGCCTATATCAGATTGTCTTGGGGAGGGTGGGGGGGAGGAAGGGGGAGAAAAATTTTCAACTCAAAAGCATATGGAAGTGATTGTTGATAAATCAAAATAAATTAATAAAATTTAAAAAAAAACAAAAGATACTGGGTTTTAGGAAGAAAGGTTTCTTATTCCCCTATTAGCATGTAATCAATTCAGCCCCCACATAGTACCTTACAACTGAATGTAAGTATATATTGTTCTACGTCTTTCTGGGCTCCTGTGTTTCCATTTGGAAACCTTGATTTCATTAAAGATCCCTTTTCCCCTATAGGATTATATTTAGGTCTGCCATATCATTTATTCTTGATTATAAGACTTTATATCATTCTCCTTTTGGAATATCATATTTCAAGTTCTATTCCCCTTTATTGTGGCAGTTCCCAAATCTTGTATGATCCTAACCATGGCTTGGTACTTAAATGCTTTATTTTTGGCTTCTTGTTGCATTTCTCCTTTGCCCAGGAAGCTATGGATTTTGGCTATGATATTCATTTTGAGTTTTCATTTTAGAGTTTCTTTTAGGAGGTGACTAGCTGATTTTTTTCTAGTTTTACTTTGCCCACTCATTCTAAGAGTGCAGGGAAGTTTTCATTTATGATTTTTTTTGGGGGGGGCTAGGCAATGGGGTTAAGTGACTTGCCCAGGGACAGCTAGTAAGTGTTATGTGTCTGAGGCTGGATTTGAGCTCATGTCCTCCTGAATCCAGGGCTGGTGCTCTATCCACTATGCCATCCAGCTGCTCCTCATTTATGATTTCTTGAAATATGGCATCCAAGCTTTTTTTTTTTTGTCATGATTTTCAGATAATTCTTACATTATCTTTCCTTGATCCATTTTCCAAGTTGCTTTTGATATTATCTTTCCTACATTTTTTTCTATCCCCTCTCCCCCATCTTTTAATTTTTTTTTAAATTTCTCATCTCAGTGAGTTGTTTTTCATCTGGTTCACTCTAATTTTCAGGGCACTCAGGTGAATGAGGTTTCCCACCATCTGATCCAGGGTATCATTCTTTCCCTGCTAATCCGTTTTGTGTCTCGTTTCATTTCTTCCAGGTACTCTTGTAATCTGGTGGCCGGGCATTATTTCTCTGAAGCTCTACTTGTACCTGCTGCAGGACAGCTCCTGCAAGGTTTTCCCTTTGGTCTCTCTCAGTAGAGGGCATTTCTTCATCGCGCTTGGCATTTCCTTCGGTTTTCTCACCTCAGTAGTCTCAGAGCATGGGCCAAGCTCCATTTCTGTAGGCCTGAATAGCGTGAGTGGGCCCTGCTTGGTGCCGAGTTTTATGGTTTTACTTTATTTTTGGGAGCAATTGGGGTTAAGTGACTTGCCCAGGGTCACACAGCTAGTAAGTGTTGTTCTGAGGTCACATTTGAACTCAGGTCCTCCTGACTTCAGGGCTGGTGCCCCATGGTTTTACTTTCTGCAGGAATTGTTTGGGCCTGCTTCCTGCTGACGTTTAGGCCCCGGGTGCCTGATACTAGAGTAGGTTGGAGCTGCCTGCACAACGCTCGTGGTCTTTATTCTGCTGTAGTTCAGGGCTCCAGGTGGCCCAGCCATTGAGGCCTTTATCTTCTTCTGCAGTCCCAGGCCACTCCCAAACAGGCAGTGTTTCTCCTGTTGAGAGGCTTAGCTCTGCCTCTTCACTCCCTCTGCCTTTCTCTCCCTACTGACCTCTACAAGCCTCTGGGGCTGCTCTCTCACTGAGCTCTTGCTAGGGCTCACCCTATTCTGGCCTCTCCCTGGGCCTCCTTTTTGCCAGAGGGCGCTGGGGATATGTTCCCCAAGTCAGGCTCTGCCTGGGGTCTTTGCATCTGCCATTGGGCTCTCCCCAAATCGAGCTCTTCCTAGGCCTTTGTGCTCACTGCTAGGCTCTAGGACCATTCTCTTGCTGGGCTCTGCTTGAAGTCCGTTTCTAGTTGACATAAAACTCCTTCTGGCTTTTGCAGGGTCTCTAACCATTATTCCATGCAGATCTGGGTGAATGGAAGATCCTACACTTGATTCTCTTATTTCTATTTTAACTGTTTTAAAGTTTTTCTGCAATGTTTGTGGGGGAGCTGGACTCCTCTAGGCCCTAATACTCCACTATCTACCCATAAGCCCTCTTAGAAGGTAAATCCTAGAGACTTGCTAAGGCACACACAAGTAAAGGGCATATGGCTAGAAAGGTCAAAGGCAGGTCCCTCTTGAGTTTAAGTGTAGCATTCTATCCACTAGCCTTGGCTGTTTTAATAATAGTAATAACATCATTAATTATTGTCATCATTATTATTCACTGGACCTTCCACTTCATTGATATATGAAACTCCTCATAAGAAAACTCCCTTTGTGAAAGAAGATTGATAACTATGATATAATAATTAATGGCAATAACATGTACAGTATCAATAAAAGAGCGAGCAGGCCCCATCAGCCTCAGGCAGCTGTAGAAAGCTACACACCTCCTTAGCAAAAAGGAGAAAGATGAGAGATGGATAGAATTTCTTGGAACACACGATGAACAGGTCAACACCCCATAGAAATACTTTTTGGCATAGCGATAGCTTTTCTGAGCCACTATTAAGGTTGAAAACAGGAATATATCATTAGATGTGTCCATTGAGCCCAAACTGGTATGCCTCTGGAAGGAACCTATGAATGGAACCATGAGTGAGATGAAGTCAGGTTAAGAATGGCCACTCAGGGCCCAGTCATTGCCACCAAAAACTACAGAAGGATTACCCTCACGAAGCCCTCACTTAGTAACCAAAGTTAGATATGCAAAGAAACATTGTAATACGTCACTACAGAAGGTAAAACAAATACCCAGCACAATGTGACGTGGTGGCTTAAATGATCCATCAGAAACGCTCCATCTTTCATGGATTGATAATTAAAGTCCTGTACCTACTACAAATATAGACCTCAAAACACTCTGAAGAACTCAACCAGTAAGCCTTATTACAACTGCTCCAAATCACCTGCACATAACACTGAGCCCTAAGAATGATGCTTTTTAGCAGATGTTGCTATATCAAATCCTCATAATATCCATGCTTTCCAAATAGAGACTTAACAGAGGATGGGGGAATTAGGATGAGGTGCAGGGAGGGGGTCAGAGTCCCAGCCACCTGGAGCATTTGCAGAGAAGGTGGATCCATACCTGATTCAGTTTCTGGGGAAAAGGACCCTTCCCATTTTCAGAAACAGAGATGGGAGGTACAACCCATTCCCTCTTCCGTCTTCGAAGACTGCGTTTGGACAAGGAAGACTTCAGTGCCTGCCTTTCCTAAGAGAAGAGGCAAAGATTCTTTACTACAGACATAAAAATAGTGGGTGTATGTGTACACACACACACACACACACACACACACACACCCCTTTCCTTTCCCTGATGGGAAGAGTACAATAGGAAGGAGAAAGGAAATAAATGGGTAAGGTTGGTGATGCTTCTACATGGGATCTGGGACAAAGACAGGGCTCGGGGCAAGTTAGTTTCCCTAGTATTCTCCCGCCACTAATACTCCCCAGAAAATGAGAAGCTCAGGCCTTTCTCCAAGAGCTTCGAGGCTTTTTCTCAAGGATATAAGTTATTCCATTTATTCTCAACAGCTCAAAGAAGTAGGTAAAGAGCGGCCAGAAATTTTATCCTCATTTTACGAACAGAGTATCTGTGTTCTAAGATCCCTCCTAGTGCTGACATTTTATATTCTAGGGGCCCTTCCAGCCCTGACATCCCATGTTCTATAGCTCCTCCCTGCTCTGACATTCTATGTTCTAAGGTCCCCATCTCCGTTCCCCTGATTCCCCCTCTTCCTTGCCCAGCTCTAACATTTTCTGTGCTAAGGGCACTCCCAAAACTGACAGGGACCTAGAAAATCCATAGTTACTTACATAATAAACTTTTCTAGCCATTTAACCCCTATTTACCTCAGTTTCTTCATCTACAAAATGGGAATAATAACAGCACTTACCTTCTAGAGTTGAAAGGATCAAATGAGATAATAATTGTAAAGTTCTTAGCACAGTGCCTGGCATATAGCAGATGCTATATAAATGCTAGTTTACTAGTTAACAAGCTAGGTAGTACTGGCAGTGGTAGTAGTAGTGGTAGTGGTAGTAGCAGTATGAGGGAGAATGAGCTTGAAAGCTGTTAAGAGTGCTTTGAGGGCAGGGCATCTGGACCCAGGAAACAGGGAGACTGTCACCCCAAAATGCCAAACTGAAGCCAACGTCCTAAGCCAAGATCTGGCTTATAGTAGGGAATTCTAGGCCTCTGGGCCAAATAACTCCAGTCATCTTGGCTGCAGAATCTGGTCTTTTTTTTGGGGGGGAGGCAATTGGGGTTAAATGGCTTGCCTAGGGTCACACACCTAGTGTCATGTGTCTGAGATCAGATTTGAACTCAGGTTCTCCTGACTCCAAGGTCAGTGCTCTATCCACTGTACCACCTAGCTGGCCCTGCAGAATCAGTTTTTTAGCAGGACACATGAAGCCCAAGGGATCACAGAAGGCCAACTCCCCAGTGAGTTCTGACCTGGAATTCTCTGGCCAACACTAAAACCAAAGGTCAGGGATCAGGAAGAGAAAAAAAAAACCAGAGAAAGAACTGATAGTTATGCTTGCCTGCTTATTCACCTACAACGAAAAGCTCTTTCCTGACACCAGGTTAACCATAATAAGCATTATTAGCATTTGTATAATTTCTTTAAAGTTTGCAAAGTGCTATAATAATAATAGCTAACATTTATATGCTGTTTACTATGTGCCAGCCACTGTGTTAAGCACTGTGCAAATATTATCTCATTTGATCCTCACAACAACCCTGGGAAGGTAGGTGCAAATTATTATCCCCATTTTGCAGATAAGGAAACTGAGACAGAGAGGTTAAGTGACTTGCCCAGGGTCACACTGCTAATAAGTGCCTGAAGCCAGATTTGAACTCAGGTCTTCCTGACTCCAGGTCCAGCCTTCTAGACAGTGTTCCACCTTGCTGTTCTTTCCACTTTCCCATCCTGCTAAGAGCCAATCAGAGCTCATATATCTCCCGACCATACAACTCAAACTCTAGGTCCTTGCTATCTAAAGAGAGTGCTCCTATTACCTCATCAGAGGGCTCCTGCCTCCTCATTACTGTCACGGTGACAGAGGCTTCCTGGTCATTTGAGTCTCTGGCATAGATGGAGAAAGTCCTCCTGTCCTGCAGGGACACCGGCTGTTTCACCAGGAGTGTCCCGTCACTCCTCATGCTGAAATGGTCATCTGTGCTGAGCAGCTCCAGCCCCTGTCCAGGACACCCGATCAATGTCACTGAGAAAGGAAGGAGAAAAGGAATGTCAGGAAAAGCGGTGATTCCAAAGGAATCCCAAAAATCCAGACAGGAAAACAAACTGCAGCTTGGCTACTGCCATATTAAACTGGATAAACCCATTCCCCAACCCACCAAATCCAACGTGACAAGAGTTCATATATAATACTCTTCAGTTCTTTGTGGACCCTGATGCTCCTGTTTATGGATTAGGCTCATAGTCAAAAAAGAAAATTGAAGAACAAATGGGGAAAAATAAAGAAAGGGAGAGGAACGTTCCTGGGGCTGGAGATACTTCTGGGAAAACATTTGATAAGCCAAGAGCTACTCAACTCACCCCATAACTACTACATAGAGACTTAATTAGGGTATGGCAAGCTGTGCTTTGTTAGGGTGTCACACTTAGAAGGATTTCTCTCGTTCATACCCATTGCCCCATCTCTCTCTCTGTCTCTCTCTCTGTCTCTCTCTCTCTCTTTCTCCCTCCCTCTTCTTCCCTCTCCTCTTGTGGGGAGGGAAGCAGATTGGTGCATGGAAGGATCAAGGTGGAAGATGTGTGTGTGTGTGTGTGTGTGTGTGTGTGTGTGTGTGTGTGTGTATGTACTCTTGATGCAAGCCTTCTAAATGTGACTCTTGTTCAAAACATAACTTACCATACCCGGTTAAGTTTCTGCATAGTTATTAAGACCAGAGACTCTGAAACAGATTTGGATTAGACAACTGCAAAGAACCTCACAAAAGCCAGAACTGAGCAAAAGTCACATCAAGATTCCAGGCAAAGAAAATGTAAAAATGGTCCTTGCCCTCAAGATGCTTAAAATCTAATGAGGGAAACAATGGATACAAATTAGAACATAATAACTGCATTTTTGTTTTGTTTTTTTTTTGGCTAGGCAATGGGGTTAAGTGACTTGCCCAGGGTCACACAGCTAGTGTCTTGAGGCTGGATTTGAACTCAGGTCCTCCTGAATCCAGGGCCAGTGCTCTATCCACTGTGCCACCTGGCTGCCCCCTCATAATAACTGTAAAAGTACAGAATAACTGGAAGCTAACCATATAGGGAATGGCACTAATCATAATAATTCAAATAGCTAATACTTATAAAGCACCTACTATGTGCCAGGCACTGTACTAAGTGCTTTACAATTAGTATCTCATTTGATCCTTAAAACAACCTGAGAGACAGGTGCTACTATTACCTTCATTTTACTGATGAGGAAACAGAATTTAAATGACTTGCCCAGGGTCACAAAGATATTTAGTACCTGAGGCTGGTTTCGAACTCAGGTCATCCTGACATCAGGCCTGGTGCTATATTGGCTACTCTGTCTGGCTTCTGGGAGAGATCACGAAACGCTTCCTGCAGGAAGTGGCCTTTGAGCTGAATCCTCCTGACTTGGAGTCAGGAAAGACTGAGTCTGAGGCAGGACTGAAACTCAGTTATTCCTGTGTAAACCTGGACAAGTCACTTAACCTCTATGCCTCAGTTTTTCCTCCATAAAATGGGGCTAATAACAGCACCTCCTTTATGGGGTTGTTTTGAGGATCAAACAAGTTAAGATAGATCAAGTACTTGTCAAGCCTTAAGCGGCCACATAAACGCAGCTGCTGCTGCTGCTGTTACTATTAATGGAAGCCAGGTATTGCAAGGGCAGCAGCATAAACACTGCTATGTAGATGAAATGATCTGTTCTCAGAGGGTCCTTTTTTTGTGTTCATCCTTGACACCAATCCTGGAATTTATCACATTCACAGGATTTAGAGTGAGATGGAACTTCATAAATAAATAAACATAAATAAAGCAACAAAGGGCCAGATGTCATAAATTTAGAATTAGGATGGACCTTAGAATCCAATTCAGCCCAGCCTCTCCTCATTTTACAGAGGAAGAAACTGAGGCTCAGAAAAGAAGTGAGTAGCAGCGCCCAGATTTGACTCCAGATCTGAGGCATTTGCCCTCCGTCCCTTTGCTCCCATCCAGACAGAGGGGTTAACCCTGCTTCTCCCTCGTGACCAAAGACACAGGTTTCTGGAGTTAGGAAGTGCCACCTGTGGCCAGGAGACCACAGAGGAAGCCTGCCCTGGCTTACTGAGTCCATCAGCCCCTCGAGGAAGAAAAGACAGAACCAGGGGACAGAACCAAGGAGGATGTCTCTGTCTGGGGTTGGGGGGAGGAGGGGAGAGAAGGCTGGATGGAAAATACCCCAAACACTTGTGGTGACTCCAATGGGCTGGTAAGTGTTTGAGGCTGCATTTGAACTCAGGTCTTCTTGACTCCAGGCTAGATGCTCTATCCACCACTCCACCTAGATGCCCTTGAAGTCCCTTTGCTCAATCCTCATTCTTCTGGAATGAAAGTACCTCGAAGGTCTCTTCTCCCTGGGTTTTCTGGACTCCACTCTCTCCTGGTTTTCCTCCTACCTATTAAACCACCCTTTCTCAGTCTCCTTTGAGAGATCTTTATCCAGGTCACATCTGTCAAACATGGATGTTCCTTAAGGCTCTCTCCTGGGCCCTCTTCTCTTCTCCTAGCTATTTTATTTGGTGATCTAATCAGCTCCCATGGATTCAATTATCATCAATTATCCTCTCTATGCAAATAATTTTCAGATCTATTTATCCAGCACTAATCTCTCACTTAAAACTCCAGACTTACACCTCCAAATACTGTTGGATATCTGGAACTGGATGCTTCATAAATATCTTAAATTCAACATGTCTGAAACTAAACTCATTATCTTTCCCCCAAAACCCTCCCTACTTCCAAATTTCCCTATTAGAGTCCGAGGGTCCCAACATCCTCTCAGCCACCCAGGTTTGAAAGCTTCACCTCTCCTGATGGCTGCCATATTCAATCTGTTGCCAAGTCCTGTCAATTTTACCTTCATTACATCTTGCACACCTGCCCCCTTCTCTCTTCTGACATTGTCACCACCCTAATGTGCCTTAAATCTTTCTCCACTCTAATCCAATCTCCACTCATCTAACAAACAGATCTTCCTTAAGGAACACATCTGACCACACTATGCCTTTATTTGGCAAACTCCTGTGGCCCCCTAGTACCTACAGGACCAAATATAAAAGGATGTGATTGGCTTTTAAAGCCCTCTATACCCTAGTGCCTTCCTACCTTTCCCAGTCTTCTTACATCTTATTCACCTCCAAAAACTCTTTGATCCAGTGACTTCTTGCTAATTCTTTTCACAAAACACTCCATCTCTCCCATCTCCAAACATGTTCACTGGCTGTCCCCAGTACCCAGAATGCTCTTCCTCCTGGCTTCCTTCCAGTCTTAGCGAAAATCCCATGTTATACAGGAAGCCTTTCCTCATCCTCCCCCACTGCTAATACCTTGCCTCTGTCATTACCTTTCATTTCTACTGTATGTCCTTATGTGTAGCCCTCCCTCACTTAAATCTAGTTCACTTGGAAGTCCTGGCATCACCTTCCTGATGTCATGGTCCTCTTCAAGAAAAAAGGATAAGCAACAGCAACATATATCTTCTACGTTCATAGTTGTTTGAATGTTGTCTCTCCCATTAGAATGTGACCCTCTTGAAGGCAGGGGCTCTGTTTTTGCCTTTCTCTGTATCCAAGCACTTAGCACAGTGCTTGGCCCTCACAAATCCTTGCTGGCCAAAAGGCTTACAAGGACATAGAAATGCAGATTGTTCCTACTCAGGCAGGATCCTTAACATAAAAAAAGTCCAAAGATACAAAAGGCTCCAGTTCTCCCCTATTTACAGTGTTTCACTTAAGGTGATTTCCATTAAAATCTTCAGTTACCTCATCCTGGCATGGAGATGCTTTGGGCTTCTCAAGGGCTATGCCAGGAGGACACAAGTTTTGGCAAGTTCTATGCCACGCCAGGAAGGCTTCTACAGGGGGCCTGGCAATGCCTATTGGCAAGGGGACAACCTAGCTAAGTTTGGGGAAAGGCTTACCACCAGGTTGGCCACAGGATAATGAATTTCTTGGCTGAAGTAACTCATGAGGATCACTGGAGGGAGTATTTCTACTGCAAAGATCAGAGATCTTTGAGTAGAGGAGGAAACTGTTAACAGAGTGAACACATGATTTGCCTAAAGTCGTTTAGTCCAAATTAACTTGCTGAGGAGCAGCTAAGAAATCCAGGCAAATGCAGATAGGGAGGGTGGATAGTAGGCCAGCACAGAGGACAACATGTTCTGAGCACACATGAAATGGGAGAAGACTTGTTCCCCAGAGGATGGTTTGTGCCCCTGGGGCATGGCTGGCTACCAAAGGGAATGCCTAGGAGAGCCACCAGCACAATAGGATCCTGAGGGTGGTGGCTTCAGTGGAACAGCTTGAGAGATGTTCTCCTCAGATATGAGAGCCCTGGGGCAAAGCCTCAGTCACCCCACCTTCGTTACATCTCTACAACCTAGTTAGTGATAGAACCTAAAATTCAGGTCTCTTTCTTCTCTTCTCACTTTTTTCCAATGTACCCTGATATCCCTTACTTATACTTTAGTCCAGGTTACCTTCTCCATTCTTAAAACTCTCTCTTTTCTAAACAATGCTTTGGCCCTGGCTATTTGGAGAGGTTATAAGATGCTCCAGATCTGCTGGGATACTGGCCTTATCAAGTCTCCCAGCAGGAAGTTAGTGGATCAACCATACCTTATAGGCAGTAGACCTAGACACCTGTAGTTTCATGCTGCTGTGTAAATCAATTAAGAAATCAATAAGCATTGACTAAGATCTTACTGTATGCACCAGGCACTATGCTAAGCACTGTGGATACCCCCCCAAAAAAGGGCAAAAATATTCCCTGTCCTCAAGAAGCTTATATTCTAGGGAGTCAGACCAACAGGTAAATAATTAAATATGTCTACAGAGTAGATGGCTGGTAACCTTAGAATAGAAGGCCCTAACAGCTGGAGGAGACCAGGGAGTAGAGAAGAGCAGAACCCAACCCAGCCTCCTTCTGAATGACGCAACAGATATGGGTTGCTAGGACCTATTGCCACAGACCTGG